GAAAAAAAAAGGAGGGCCCCCCAGGAAAGTCCCCCCCTCAGGCACCTAGAGACATCAAAATAGCAGATAAGTTTGCTGAAGACTGGGTTCCAGACATCCAAGTTATACACCCAGAAAGTGAGTCCACTCAAGAAAGTGTCCTTTAGTAGCTGGCTTGGGGAAACCCAATCTTCACCAAACTTGGAGAGATTGCAGAGGAGAGTAATGTATCTTTACATGGCTGGGTAGCAGTTTTGTAGCCCACAAATCAGCAAATCAAAAATCACTAAAAGTCATTGATTTGTATGCATGGTGGACATTGAGTCATATAAATACCAATTGATAAACTAGTGATTTTTCAATAAATTTGGTGATTAGTTAATTCATTTATTAATTTGTGCCCATTTCTAATTATCAGCAATAGAGATGGTTGACAAATATGAATTATCATTGATTGGAGCCACCTCTAGAATTGGGCTGTCCACGTACCTCTTGTGGCATGGTGCACAGCTCATGGTCATTTGTGCTGCACCAGTCATGGAAATAGCCTGACTGGGGCTTCTCCACCTCCCTGTGCTGCTAACCAGTCTGATGAGGAGAAAGGATGACAAGTCTCCCCACTCAGCTGCTGAGTGGTCCAGTTCTGGGGGAAGGGGCCAATCAACCTGAGCACCTGTGAAGACACTATTCATATTTGTCTCCCCTGGGAGACTAATACAAATATCCCATCTCTAATCAGCAGTCCAGGAGAAGAATTATGTGGATAGCTCTAGGTTCACTAAGCCCTACCACTTCAATAAGACAGGTTAACTAGGACATACCAGTGTTCATCATCATTTTTCACAGTACACCTATGAAGTGACAATATTTGCCTTCAAACAGACTGTTGACACTCATCAAGGAACCAGAACAAATCACATCTCCAGGCACAGGTCCAGGAGTACATTGAAGACATGCATCTCTCCACCATGTACAGCTTCACTTAAAAATACTGTTGTGTTCTGGTTGTCAAATAAAGTGCAAACCAGCTCCAAATCCTTGGATGTATCTGTCAGTCCTCCCATTTCTCAAGACCATGGCTTGTACCTCCTTCTCCAAAAAGTCCATTGTGATGGCCAAGATGGGGTGAGTAAGAGGTGCATGCATATGTGTATATCCACAGTAGCGATTCTTATAGCACAGTCACTAAAGCACAGTGTGTGCCTTAAGGGAATCATCAGGGGGCTACTGAGAAACAAATAATTAAAGGCAAACCTCTTTCTAATCAGTTTTCAAGGGCAGCAGGAATGTCTGCCTCTGCCACCAGGAGTAATTCAGTGATCAACTGGCACACAAGACATCAGCATTATCTTCTCAGAAGGGAGGTCACCTGTTAGGTTTCTGAGAGTCTCTCTCACTGCTCTGGGCCTGCATCCTCCCAGGAAGGAAGCACATCTAACAGCAGGGACTGCTCAGCGTGGGCATGGTGGGGAAACACAACAGAGGACAAAGGAAATCCAAAAGTGTGTGTCCAGTTTTCTTTTCATAAAAATAACATTCTCTCTCCAACTGCCAGGAGTTTGGGGATGCAGTGGCACAGGAGAGTATTGTGAGGTGGCCCTCATTTTGGGAGGGAGCAACAATCCTCCCTTATCCTGTATGTGAAGAGGCAGGGGAGGAGAGGGATGTGTTTTTCTGGCTGTTAACGCTGAGGAAATGGCACAGGGTTTCTTCCTAGGCCTTTGAGAAAAAGGCCACAATAGGTTCAGTGACCTGAGAAATCTGGGAGGCTCAGGCAAGCCGACTGAAGTTTGGGAAGTGGGGCTGGAAAGAGGCCCTCTTCCAGTTATAATGACAGAGGTAGTGCTTGCCTGCCTGGCCTTTGAATGAGTGTTCTGTAATAATGAGAAGGATCTGCATTTTACAGCTGCAGGGAGACAAGTGTAATTAAAGAGCACAGAGCTCCAATTAGAGCTTCTCTTTCAGGTCGGAAGGTAAGTTTCTGCCTCTTGTATAGAACACAGAATGAAGGGACCCAATCACTCCGTTAATGATAAAGGGGGAGAGGGAAGGCAGAAATGTAGCTAGGCCAGGAGTTCACTTTACAAATGCCCCGGGGACAGGAGATCCGGAAGAATGCTGTTTAAACCAACAGCAGCCCTCCTTCCAGGCTAAGCAGACTGTAGCTAAATGCCTAAAAAGCATGTGGCTGACTGACGTGAATGAGAAAGGGCTGCATTGATACAGCCCAGTGCTCCAATCCTAAACATTTTGTGCAGAAAAGAAAGCAATTAACTTGAGAATATTGGCCTACACCTGAATCTCTCTTATTTCAATCTAATGCTGTTTTGTTAAAGTGCCCATGCCACAGTCAGGATCCTTTGCAACACACACAGAGACACCCCCCCCCAAAAAAAACCCCTCCGATCATATGCAGGGGATGTTTCAGCAATTGTGCCAAACATCCCCTGCAACACTGCAAGCAACGGATGAAGGCACACCCGGCTGACATTGCATACAAGCATATATTCCTGGTATCCTGAAAATAGGGTTGCAGTGGAAATGTACACAGCACAGCAGAATCATTCCCAAGTATCCTGAGTTATCCTCACATCTGAAATAACCTCTTTTCCACATAAAATATTTAGGTTCAGGGAGTTATTAGGTCAATTGAAGGCAGCTGCTGCTTTCACTATTTGTTATTTTACTTTGCCTTCATACAGTAAATGCAATACTAGCAGAGTAAATGCCTCCTGCCCTGCACTAATGGTATTCACACTTGTGCACAAAGAGCTGGAAAGAAAATCAAAGACCATGTGTGTGGGGGGAAATGCCTTGAATCAATGGGAGAATGAACTGGTTCTGATGGGAAAATAAAATAAAAAAGAGGCTTTGAAATGGGGAGTGAAGCTTTAGAAGCGCTTTTCTTTTCCGAGCCTTTACTCTCCCTAAGGTTTTAAGCCACAGAGGAAGTGGTCCGGTCATTTTCACGTCCTTTTCCCCCATGTTATTAGCTCTGAATCAAGGGCGCGGAAGTGGGGTCGGGTCGAAAGGAGAGGGTGACCCCCTGGGCTAAGATCCCAAACGGGTCTTACTTGCGTGATGGGAACCGGGGGGGGAGGGCTAGGCCCGGGGACACGGACTTGCTGTGGAGCATTTACTCAGTTTACAGCCAACGGTGGTGGTCACCGGATGCATTTGCCTCGCAACTCTCGAGGAGTGAGTTGGCCAAGCAAACCACGGCTGGCGGCGGCTGCAAAGACCGATCGCGATGACAAAACGACCTCTGGCAAACCCCGTGGGGAGAGCACGGAACCCTCAAGCCTGCGGGGCCGCTGGGAGCCGGGCAGTGGCCAAGAGACCCCCGGCATGAGGAGCCGCCGCCTCTTGCCCCCTTACCTTAGAGGGGAGAGCACAGGCAAGCAGCAAGAGCAGCGACGGCGGTGCTAGGAGCCGGCGGGAGGAGCTGGCGGGAGGCGCGGCCATGGGGCGCCCTAATCCTCCTCCATGGGCAGCAGGAAGGCTGCAGCAGCAGCAGCAGCAGCAGTATAGTCCCGGCGGCGGCGGCGGCAGGAGCAGCCGCCTGAGCGCAGACCTGCATGGCCGAGTAAGTAATTAATGACTTTCCAACCTGTTGGGTGGCGGCGAGAGCGCGGCGGCGCAACCCTCCAGCTCCGGGGCGGCTGTGATTGACAAGGCGAGCGGAGAGAGCCACCCAGAGAGAGACTCTGAGCCAGTGGGACGGAAGGGAAGGGACGGGACGGGGCGGGGTAGGGTGGGGGAGAGCGAGGGGAGGGCTCCCTCTCTGTCTCCTTGCCTTACGGGTACCCCCTTCCCGTTTCGGCTTCTGCCCCACTTCGTATGTTCCTCCTACCTTACCGGCTGCATGATGGTTCAGGACAACTGCCCAGCTGGGAAAAAGTGGCATCATTTGGGCTTCCAATGAGGATAAAAAAAGATGCAAGCCTTCTAATGAAACAGGATTCCTCAGCGCCCTTCCCGTTTTTGGTGTTTTAACTGAAAACCTGAAGGGTTTCAGTTATCAGGACTGATCTTGGATTCGATTGTTGCAAGGATCACTGTTTCCCAACTGAAGTAGGCATTCTTAGCATGACGACAGAGGGTGACACTATTTGATGTACTATTTATTCCTGGCATTCATATACTGCCCCCATTAGCGCACAGCACTGTTCTGGGTGGTGTACATATGAAAACAATGAAATAACAGTCAGACACAGTATAAAACCAGACAAACTAAAATAAACCAAGTATTTAAGCCTAGATGGCAGAGCAAATCCAAGCGGCAATACAGGAGTAACCAAAATCAAAAGAGGCTTGTCACCAAAGACTTCTCAAAATAAGTCTTCAGCAGCCTCTTGTAATTAGAGAAGGGAGAGGGCCAGGCATAGCTCCATTGGGAGGTGACTCCAGAGAGTTGGTGCCAATGCTGACAAGGCCTGGTTTCTTGTCAAAGAATCGTGAAGTTGGAAGGGGCTTATAAGGCCATCAAGTCCAACCCGCTGCTCAATGCAGAAATACAAATCAAAGAATATCTGCCAGGTGGTTGTCTAAATTTCCTTTGAATGCCTCCAGCATTGGAGTAATCACCACCTCTCGAGGTAATTGATTCCATCGCTGCCCTGCCCTAACAGGAAGGTTTTCATGATATTCAACCAAAATCTGACTTCCTTTAACTTGACCCCATTGTTTCATGTCCTGGAATAACTGAAAACAGATCCTGCCCTTCTTCTGTATGTGTGAAGGAGAGAAGGCCAGTGTGCCGTCCTCTACTGATCATACCTCTGAGGAAAGCCGCAAATGCGTGAAGGGGATACTGGTGGAAATAGGACAGGAGGAGGTGGAATGTAAAGAGTCACTAGAGGTGTGTCTAGCTGACGAAGAGGGGAAAGGAGCTGGACTTGATTATCTGGGAGGAGGCTATAAAAGAGGAGGAGAGTGTGCAAACCTTCAGAATCCTAACAGACGGAGGACAATCAGAGAGAAAGAGTCGAGGAGTGCAAACTGAGCTAGTTCTTGGGCAAGAAAGTGCTACGGGTCTGATGAAGGACTTTCCAAACCTACAGATTGAAGGAGGTTTGTTGCCAGACCCAAAAGGTTTATACGCGAAAGGGAGTGACCTAGATCCACTAGAATAGACTGGTGGTGTACCCTCGCAACCAGCATGGGGGACAGAGGTTGATCCGTCCCAGTCCCTCTTTACTCCATCCACAACGCGAGGGGGACTGGGCGAGACACCCATGCTGTGGGATAGTTTGTGCTGTGAGGAGCACCCCCCCCCCGAGACCTATGACCGATCGGTAACAGTTTGGACCGGCCCCTCTATAAGAAGTGATTTGAGGATTCCAGATGTAAAAGTGCACAGTTACAGGATTTTACCTGAGTTAAGTTTATTAGAACTCATGTTAAACGTTCAGAGCCGCCACCGCCTCTCCTTCCTGCGCAAACTCAGGGTTCGCCTCATGCCGAAGACGAACTTATTCATAGTATGACAGCCCTTCAAGTATTTGAAAAGTGCTATTGTATCACCCCTCAGTCTTCTTTTTACACATGCCCAACTCTTTCACTCTTTCCTCATAGGGCTTGGTTTCCAGCCCCCTAATCATCCTTGTCTGGGGACGCCAGATACATGGGTACCAAAAGGAGGACATAGAAAGACAAAAAAGAGGAGAGAGGAGGACGTATTGAATGTTTCATTTGAATTGTTCAGGATTAAACCTGCAATCAATACAATTTTATTACAATAGCTGCTAATAAATGTCTCTTAGTGACCAAGAAAGTCATGTTAAAAAATAAAAATAAATTAAATTGAGTTTTTTTCCAAAATACCAAAAAACATTATTTAAACAGCCAATTGTACCCAAACCCACCCCGGCCCGGCTGCAGGATCCCCCGGCCGCTCACACTCTGCACAGGCTCAGAAGCAACCTTGCTAACCTGGATGCCCAAACAAGGCCCTGGCTCAGGCAGGGCGAAAGTGGTGCCGGGCAAAGCCAAATGAGGCAGCCTCTTCTCCCCCAAGGGTCATAAGTTCCAGGCTGGGGAGTGTGGGAGTCGGAATCCCCAAAACTGGCTTTGAACATAGTCCGGGCACTCACCTTCCCATTGATGTGCTCGGGCACTGCTTGCTCCTGCCTGGCTCGGCCAGTGGTGCTCTGCTTGAGCTGCCTTTCTGGGCTCCACGTGGACTGGGAGGGCATGGCAGATCACCAAGTAGCCACCGCCGTGGTGGGAGGGGGCGAGGGCTGCGCTCCGGCACCAGATAATGGCAGGGGGGTGAGGGCGGGGAAAGACAGGGGGAGGGGGGGTCCTTCCACCTCTCTCCCTCCCATCCAAAATTATAACATAAAATATACTGTACAAAAACCTGACAATTCGTCAGCCTCCTTCTTGAAGTGCAGTTTCTAGAACTGGACACAATGCTCAATATGAGATCTAACCAGTGCCGAACAGAGGAAAACTAGCACCTAGTGGGATTTGGAAACAATACTTCTATTAATGCAGTCTCAAATAGCTTTGGCCTTTTTTGTTGCCATACCACACTGTCAGTTCATATTTAACTTGTGATCTACCACTATTCCAAGACTTCTCATTCGTGGTATTGCTGAACCAGGTATCCCCTATTTGTAACTGTGTGTTTGTTTTCTTATTCCTAAGTGCAGTATTTGAAATATCCCTGTTGAATTTCATTCTGTTGTTTTCAGCCCAGTGCTCAAGCCTATCCAGATCATTTTGAATTTTGTTTCTGTCTTACAAGGTATTAGCTATTCCTGATTATCAATTTTGTGTCATCAGCAAATTTGATTAGCATTCCCTGCACTCCCTGATCCAGATCATAAATAGAAATGTTGAAGTGCATCGGGCCCAGGACTGAGCCTTGGGGTACCCCACTTGTTACCTCCTCTCAGACAGAAAAAGAGCCATACCCCCTGAGTATGATTCTTTAGTCAACTGTGCATCCACTTGACACTTGATCTAGTCAGGCCACATGTACGTACATAGCTTGCTAATCAGGATATCATGGGGCACTTTTTCAAAAGCGTTGCAATCAAGATGCAATGTGTATAGCATTCCCTCTGTCTATCAGGGAGGCTTCCTGAACAAAAATGATATCAGATTAGTCTGGCAGGATTTGCTCTTGCCAAATCCGTGTTTGCTTCTAGTTATTGCTGCATTATTTTCTAGGTGCTTGCATAGTGACCATTTTATAATTTGTTCCAGAATTTCCCCTGGGACTGATGTCAGACTGACTGGCCTGTAGATCTCAGGTTCTTCCTTTGTGCCCTTTTTGAAGACAGGGACAACATTAGCCCTCCTCCAGTCCTCTGGCACCTCCCTCTTCCCCATGATTTCAAGAAAATAACAGAAAATGGTTCCAAGAGTTCTTTAGCCAGCTCCTTCAATACTCTTGGATGCAGTTCATCCAGCCCTAGAGATTTGAACTCGTTCAAGGCAATGAGTGTGACGATCACCTCCTTGAGGCACATTTTGTGCCCTCACAAAGGTTCCAGTCGTTTTTCCTTTCACTGCCACCAGTGGATTACCTCAATCCACAAAATAAATGACGTTCGTGTAAGCTTGCCCATTCTCCTAAGAGAATCAGACAGCTGGAATAGAGAGGTTCCAGAGTCCAGTGTACCCTTATTTGGGATGAGATGAGTCCTTGTCTCACCAGGCTGTCCCACTGGCACCCTTTTCCCAAGTCAATTCCCTATTGAAAACCATTGAGAAACCAAAATATAATCCTGAGTCTTAGAGTCATTTAGAACCCCCAGAACTCAGTAAAATATCGGACTCAAGGTAGCTAGGTTCACGGCCTAAAAGAAATTAAATTAAGTATGGTAGCAGGTTGTCTGTTTCAAGAGATCAAACAAGTTCTTAAGTATAATTGTTTTTATTAGAAAAATAAAGATTTAAAAGAATTCAGTTTATTGCAAAAGCATAGCAGTCAAAATCATTTCCATTTCTAAGCAGTTAGAAACTTCTACTATCTGAAAAATAGCAAACAGTCATATTAGTTAATACAAAAACAGTAATTACTCTAAGTATACAGGAACAATGAAATTTTTAATGGTCAGGTACATATGGATCTTCACAGTACATTCTAGAAAGACCATCTGCCACAACATTTAGTCTTCCAGGAATATGCTGAACTTCAAAATCAAAATCTTGCAATGCCAGACTCCATCTCAACAATTTTTGGTTGTGAGATTTCATCTTCTGCAGCCAAGCCAAGGCTCTGTGATCTGTTGGGGGGGGGGGTAAATTTACGCCCCCATAAATATGGTCTAAGAAGATTTAGAGACCAGATTATAGATAATGCCTCTTTTTCTGGAACTGCGTAATGTCTCTCTCTTTCCAAGAGTTTTCTGGAGAAGTATGAGATTGGGTAAAGATTCCCATCTTCCCCTTGCTGTAACAACACAGCTCCAAGGCCTAATTCTGAAACATCAGTCTGTAAAATGAATGGTTTGTCAAAATCAGGAGATTTCAGTATAGGTGCATCCATAACTTTGGCCTTTAAGGCATCAAAAGCACCTTGACATTCTGGAGTCCATTTTACCTTTACAGGCTG